GGTTAAGGGTACCAAGCAGACACCCTGAAGAGGTTGGAGCTGCACTGTATGTATGGCTATGGTATTACTGGGCAGTGCTGGGTCAGAGAATGTATTCTAGAGTTGGGCCTTGAAAAGAATGAGAATTCCAAAACAAAGGGAAAAGTAAGAGCAATAGCACAGAGGTATATAAATAAGCCACTCAAGTGAATGGGAGGAAGAGGTGACTGAGACAACGTGACATGGAGGTTAGGGGCATGGGCTCTGGTGCTGACCTGTCTGGGTTCAAAGACCTGCTTTTCCACATGCTCCTATGACCTTAGACAAATCATTTCACCTTCCTTTCTACGCCTCAGATTTCTCAGCTGTATAGTAGAGATAATAACCCTTGTTGTGCAAAGTGAGTGAGTTTGACACACACGGTACTTCTCTTGGAACAGTGCTTACAAGTGGTAGTAATAGTAAGCACTGGGCAGTGGAGGCTGGCATGCTGCCAGGGGCCAGGTCATAAAAGGCCCAGGATCTTATTCCTGAGGGTAAGGGAAGCCTGCGAAGTTCACTAACAGGGGTGACAGGAGGCACACTGAGGCAGCCAGATGGGGAGGTGGGAACCCAGGCTGTGCAAGCACAGCTCATGCCCGCTCTCCTTGGCTCTACAGGCTGTGTGCAACCCTCCCCATTGTTCTCACAGCCCCATTCGTGCCAGCGCTATTTCATCGCTGCTTCGAATGGTGTTCCCTCTCCAGGTAGAGACTCCTTATCATATTCATCTCGGTTCGTGCGGACTGGCATACAGTAAACTTCCGTAACTCTTTGCTGGAGGAATCCATGAACACTAAAGAAAGGTGTAGGCAGTAGGGCGGGCTGCTTCCCAGTGCAAATGCACTTGGACAAGGTCAGGCTGATCCAGGCACCTCTTTCTTGCAGGTGGACATTGCATCAGGGATGGCCATTGAAGGGATATGCTATGCCCAGGTACGTGGCTGCTCCAGTCCCTGCCTGCTTGTAAGCAGAGGCTGGGTCAGAGTGGGGGATCTTGAGCAATATGTGACCAATTTAGTAGGTTCCTCCCAACCTTAAGAGTCAGACTCTATGCCACCTCCTCCTCACAATTAGCCTGAGGCGATCCCAAGGGAACCACATTGCTTCTCTCTGGGACTGTTTCCTCAGCCATCTAATGGTGGTGCATCCTGGCCCACTTAGTGCCCAGAGAATCACATTTGATAGAGAGGAAGAATGGCTTCTGCTGTCTCTGTACCAGTGGCCGCTGGAGAGGCCAGGCTGGAGTTGGGATGTCAAGGCCTTGGTTATAGCTTGCAGGCCGTGTATGTTCGATGGTGGGGCAGTAAACCTGGGGCTGACCTATTTGGCCCCTGCCTCCTCACTGAGTCAAAAATATTGATCTCCAGGTTAACAAATATCCAAAATACTCCTGAACGGGGGTCTGGGACTTACAGGACCCAGTGTGAACTAGCAACACACAAGAATTCAGGGCCACATCTCACTGCAAAGCCCAATCTTTCTTCTCTACTGAGCAGCTTCATATCAGACTGCTGCAAGAGACTGCGAGCTCTCTGGAGGAATGTAAACAGTATGCAAGTAGAGGCTAACGTGACAGGCCACGGATGACAGAGAGGTGGCCTGCCTTCCCCTGGAGACCAAGGAGCCAGTGAGGCCCAAACCTTTGCATGGCCCAACACAAGTCCAGAAACAATGGAAAGACTCGGAGTCTGCCCTTGCCATGGGCTGGACAAGCTTAAGGAAGTCTTTATTAGTCTCTGGTCCTTCTCCCCTGAAACTAATACTCTGCATGTTGTTTCAGAACATCCCCACCCAGGACCGGCTAGAGGGCATGGCAGCCTTCAGGGAGAAGCGGCCTCCCAAATTTGTTGGCAAGTGACTCCCATTTAACCTTAAGCACGGGAGATGCACGCTTTCAAGGGCAGGATCCAGAAGGAAAATTTGCACTGTGACTGCCTTCATCATTTTGCCTCTTTGGGATTCAGTTTCCACACAAGGACAATGATGGATATAAAATAATTGGCATGGGCCTGGTATTAATGTGCTGACCATGCCACCTACTGTTCATTATTCCTCACCCTGTCTAGATAGTCACTGCAGTCGGGTTTGCTTGGAGCAGACCTGCCTCTCCCTACTCAAACGATAAACTAAGGATTAAAATAGACCCCTCTGGGCTTTTGTCCTGTTGGCTTTTCAGCCCGACCTCTGCCTCTCAGTTATCAGGTGCTCACCAGAGATGGCAAGAGGTTGTAAGGACCCCCTAGTTCCTCCCTCTGTAACAGAGCTAACAAGGGAACCCTGGTGGCTGGGCAGGTGTCAGGAATCAGACTGCAGATCCCGGCTCTCTGCCAGTTACTCACGGTGTGCCTCAGCTTCCTCATCTGCAAAATGAACTGTTGTGAAGATTAAAAGAAAATAAATAAAACACCTTATGTTCAATAAGCATTATTATTAATGTAGTATTCTTCTCATAATTAAACAAAATCATCGCTGTGAAAACCTTTTATAAACTAGAGGGTAAATCTTTGACAGTCACATTAAGTACCCTTCAGGAGCACTAAGAAGGGAGCGATTAACCAATGGAGAGAGTGGAAGGTCAGGAATTGGGCAGGTAACATTAGAGCTGAAACCTAAAGGATTAATAGGCATTTGAGGCAAAGAAGAGGAAGGTCGAGGGCAACAGCATGAGCAAAAGTGAGCAAGGGGATGACATACTGAGAAACCAAGCAGGGCTGACATGCACATGCGCACACTAGTCTCAGTAGCCCTGCTCCTGTACCAAGGCAGCAGAAGAGAAGGCTACATCTGAAGCTGTAGCCTTGCAGTCATTCTTTAACTGATCTGAGCTCTGCCTGAGTTTGCTGAGCCTACACCTGGCCTAGAGTCACTAAGCCATGGGGATGGATACATAACAACAACATTGCTGATTTGCTGCTAAATGGAAACGTGCCCCACGGTTGTGCTCACTTCCTGGAAGGGAGAGTAACACAGAAGAGCCCAGGCTCTAGAGTCAGCACCAGCTGCACGAGCTATCACTATCACTATCCAGGAAAGTACCTTACTGAACTTCCTTTTCCTTATCTGTTAAATGGGGAGAATCAAACTTACCTACCCCAGAGGACTGTTGGGAACGACACAAAGCTTGGAGAGGTGCCTAGCGTAGACCTGGACCTTAACAGGCACTAGTTCCCACCACATCCTCACATTAGCAAAGGCTAGTATCTGCTAACAGAATGTTCCAAAGTACCAGAACCCAGGGCAGGAAACTAAGACAGCCTTTCGGAATCATGAAGAGTGAATGGGAGAAAACAGAGCAGAGTTTCAGGACTGTAGAAGGAGGCAGGTTACAAATTCCCCTTATTCAGTGGGACACTGGTGAGCAACAGTTTGGAATATGGTTTAGAATAAAAACAAGCCTCATTTGATTCCAAAAGATGGTACATAACACTCCAGTTAAGAGTCTGGCTAGCTAAAAGCACAGAAATCTACTCTTAGAATATGCTACTAATGTTCTTTGAAAAAGTTAAACAGGGGCCGGCCCCGTGGCCGAGTGGTTAAGTTCCTGTGCTCTGCTTCAGCGGCCCAGGGTTTCGCCGGTTTGAATCCTGGGCGTGGACTTGGCACTGCTCAGCAAGCCATGCTGACGCAGCATCCGACATGCCACAAGTAGAAGGACCCATAACTACAAATACACAACTGTGTACCAGGGGGCTTTCGGGAGAAAAAGGAAAAATGAAAAAAAATCTTTAAAAAACAAACAGATGAATGGCAAATGTTTTCATTAGTTGTCAAAAATAAGACAAGAAAGGAGTTCATACTCGATTCCACAGAGGAGGTTTGCAGAGGGCACAGACAAAAGCTTCTGATGGTCTACGTTGTGGTTGAGCCGGTTCTCAGAAGAGCTCATATTTTTCTTATCTCCATGCTAGATTAAGAGTACCTCTTTTTGTTTGTTTGTTTGTTTTTTTTGCTGAGGAAGATTCACCCTGAGCTAACATCTGTGCCCATCTTCCTCTTTTGTAAGTGGGTCACCATGACAGCATGGCCGCAATGAGTGGTATAGGTCCACACACAGGAATTGAACCCTGGCTGCTGAAGTGGAGCATGCCAAATTTAACCACTAGACCACGGTGCCAGCCCAGGAGCACCTCTTAAAATCTTTGGCAAAATCCTTCTCTGGCCCTTCCTCTTCCTCTCAGTTTTGATCACAGTTGCAAGTCAAATTAAAAATTTGAGGGACTGAGATTACAGTTCCCAAGTAATCTTTCATTAAACACTATGCTCAGTCAGAAGTCCCACCTTGCCCCACCAGTACACCCATTACACAGAATGTTATGCTCAGTCTAATGAGTAAAGCTAGAAGAAAAAAGGCCAAAGGTAGAATATCCGAAATTGTAAAAAATATATTTCTCTTCCCTCCACTCCATGAGTAGAAGGTTCTTTGGTATCTATTAAAGAAAAATTTTCTTTTTCCTCCCCTCCAACAGAAGTTCTGCTTTCCAAACAAGACATTTATAAGTATAAATTTCCCAGAGCTTTTTCATGTACTTCTTTTCCAGTGGTTTCACATAAGCAGGAATAACAACTCAAGAGAGTCTTTCAAACATGAAATTTAACATAAATACTGAGGTCTCCCTGTAGGTCTTTCTTTACCCCTTTCTCTGACAAACTCCCAGAGTTAAGAAATTGGCCAGGGCTAGAGAAAAGTAACTGGCACGGCTGTTCCAACACAAGCTCACAGGTCTTCCCATGAGTCTAGGGCTTGATTTTGCAAAACTGTGGAAGAGATGCTCCTAGAATGATTCCAACTTGATTTGAGATTATGGCTAACATACAAATCTAACCTTTTGTAACGTGAAGAAAATTAACAATAAAAGGCCAATGAGGTGGCCAACTCACAAATTCCAATGAGAACTGGTTTCAAGATTCACTTGCTGACAGGGCAAACCTGACGCTGAGGAACAGAGCATCTCTGAAGGCCCTTAGGTTAAGAAGGGCCTTCAACACAGAGGGGGGCTCCGATAATTCAGAAAATGCATTCTGAAGTCATCTAGAATGGAGGCCGCAATCTGCTGTGCTTGGGGATCTGCTCCACTGCGCTCCCGGACGTCACACAAAAGCTGCAGTCCTTCTTCTTCCACTAACATTTTGCAGTATTTGCTGGCTGAAAGAAAGTCAGGCAAAGAAACTTGATGAAGAAATCAACATTTTAAATATCCCCAACACTCATTCACTTTTTTAAAGAAAGAGCACAAAGGTTGAAAGCTCTTTGACACAGGATTTAACAGATAAAATGAGTCAGTTCAAAACTTAAATAATGCTTGCCTTGTGTAGTGAGAAGAGATGATTATTTTAGTATGTTTACTTCCAGACAACTCTATGCTTCGAATATCTTCTATCACAAAAATAATACACATTTCAAGTTTAGGCAGTATGTTGAGCTAGATAACCTGAAAATACCAGATGCTAGACAAAATGTAACTAAAAAAATTTTAAATGCACAGTTGAGTGTACAGAGTAAAGGAAGTGTCCAAGAGCGAGACACAAAGAGCAGAAAGCACCTAAGCTCATGTGAGCTAACCTCGAGCTATCCTGGGGCAGAAAGGGACTGTCAGTTTCAATAATCTAGGAATTGAGATTTTAGGTTAGCAAGTTAGAAGCAAAATCAGTGCATAAAGCTGGTCCGTCAAAGGGCTAGACAAAAGAAGGAATAAGACAATGAAACATCTTTATCTTGGCTTGGGCTCTAGGTGGGTGTATAGGAGTGAAGAGAAGTCTTTCCTGAGAATTCATAACCACAGTCCCAAACAGGTACAGGGTTTCAATTTACACCACGCCTACATGTTCTGGGAACTCCTGAGCTGAGAAACTAATATAAATATTAGTCCAATCCCAGAGAAACCTCTACAACACTTGACAGAAGCAAACACAAGACTGTGCTGAAGGAACATGTCCACAATTCAGTCTAAAAAGGATTCTCTTAAACCATTAGACACAAAGAGAAAATCCCAAAACACATCTCAGGCTATCACCAAAAGTAGAGCACAAAGAAACAAAGACATGGAAACTATTTTTTTTTAAAAGGGTTACAAGACGTGTAGGACAGAATGAGAGGAGGTACAGGATACTTCTGATAGATGTTCCACAGAAAACAACAGACAGAATAGGGGAAGGTTATTATTTTAAAAGAAATGGCTGAGAATTTTCATCAATTTTAGGAAGTATAACCATGATTTGAAATCCAGAGGCCATACAGTGAAAACCTGACTTGTAAACACAATGAACAAAATGAAGACAATAAACTGGGAAAAAATATTGCAAGAAGGCCTTCAAATTCAAAAGAAAAAGATCAGGGTCTGGCCTGGTGGCGCAGTGGTTAAGTGCGCACATTCTGCTTTGGCAGCCCGGGGTTTGCCAGTTCGGATCCCGGGTGCGGATACAACACCGCTAGCCAAGCCATGCTGTGGCAGGTGTTCCACATATAAAGTAGAGGAAGATGGGCACAGATTGTCACTCAGGGCCAGTCTTCCTCAGCAAAAAGAGGAGGATTGGCAGCAGATGTTAGCTCAGGGCTAATCTTCCTCAAAAAAAAATTATAAAAAGACCAACAGTAGACAGAAAGTGAATGACAGACAATTCAAGGAAAGGAGAGGACTCTTGAATAGAAGAAAAGATGGTAATCTCACTTAACGTACATGTCAAATGAGACTATCACTTTCACCTGAGATTGGCAAAATCAAGACGTTCAATTAAATGCTGTTTTTGCAAGAATGTAAGGAATCTGGCAAGCCCTCATACACTGCTGATGGGAATGCAAATTGGTAATTAACTCTAGTATAAAATTATAGCTTATATTTCTTTTATAATAAAAGCAAAACTTCAACAGTAATCCTTAGCAAAGGGTATAGGCCAAAAATTCTCAAAGGGTAATTTAAAACAGCAAAACATGGAAAAACCTTTAATCTGGCTGCAAAAGAACTCCTGACTCCTGGCCCCGGTCTCCCACAGACCATTACAAAGAGGCAGATCTATGTATCACTACAGGAAGGGCATTCATGACAAACTGCTGAGGTGAAGGGGGCAAATTCTAGAATAGCATGCACAGAACGAGACCATTTTATTTAAAAACACTATCACATTCATATACAGTATATACTAGCTATGGTATGCATGTATACAGAGAAGCATCTGGAAGGGTAGTTAGTTATCAAATTATTAACCGTGCTCGCCAGGAGGGAGCAGGAGTGGGAGCCAACTTGTACTCACTATGCTCCCTGACATCACCCCCAAAGAGATTATAATTCTGCAGCATTTTCTAAACTAATACAACCATTTTTTTCAGTTTCTTTTTAAAAAGAGTTAAATTCAGGACACAGATGAACAATTTCTAAAACTTCCATCTTGAACTTAATCATTACACAGAAACACAGCTGGAAAACGATTATGTTTCAAATACATACGGTTTTTACTGCAGACATGATACATGGCCCATAGTGCCCAGAGCTGAACCTCTGGTTGAGAGAAGTTGCCAAGGAGTGGGAAAAATGCCTTGAAGGATCTAAAAAGGTACAAGGAAGATTCAGAACTTAGGCTAATGTCAGGGATGTAATAATAATTTTCAACATTCCCTCAGTGAGACAGACATATTGTTGAGCATATAATGGGAACGAGCATTTAAGAAATTGCATTCTGTTAGACACTCTATACATTCAATATCTCATTTCATCCTCAATCCTGCACACTGTCAGCCTCATTTTACAGATAAACTAAACTGAATCTCAGAGATTGTCTAAAAGTGATTTTCCCAATATCACAAAGAAACAAGATTTGAACACAGGCTATTTGACTCTAATATCTTATCATGTACCAAGGCCTCTACATGGTGGGTAGACTGAGGCCAAGCTTTAAGAAAAGCACTACACCATCACGAAAGTACCTGTAGGTCACCAACGCCATCATCTTACAAGTTGAACTTGGCCAATTCTGGACGGTTGCATACTGTACAAAAAAAGAAACCAGGATTCTAGTATTGTATTCTATCATTTTCAAAAAGTCATAATAGACTATTACATATATATACATTCATATATATATTCCTACATATATACATGTGAAACAACATAAATTTTCAAAATACGGGAATGATTACCCAAACCGAGGTAGATCTACCTGCCAAAATATCAATTAGATAACCAGTATATGCGTAGAATATGAACAAAGTCATGTGGAAAACAACACAATAAAAAGGGGCTTATGTTTAAAGATGAAGGATTTGGGGCCGGCCCAGTGGCATAGTGGTTAAATGCCCATGTTCTGCTTCAGTGGCCCACGGTTCGCTGGTTCAGTGCCCGGGTGCAGACATGGCACCGCCTGGCATGCCATGCCGTGGTAGGTGTCCCACATATAAAGAAGAAGAAGATGGGCAAGGATACTAGCTCAGGGCCAGGCTTCCTCAGCAAAAAAGAGGAGGACTGGCAGCAGATATTAGCTCAGGGCTAATCTTCCTCAAAAGAAAAAAATAAAATAAAATAAAGATGAAGGACTGAGCATGCATCTACTCCTTTGCTAAATCCCATAACAGAATAGTATAAATGGTTTAAAATAAAAGAAAGCAAACATGCAAAGAACAAAGGGGAAGGGAAATGGTAACTGATTTACTAGATCTACTACTGGGGAAGGTTAGGGGAAAAAAAGTTTTTGAACAGAACCCCCAAGAGACAAAAAATTCAGCACACAAGGTACTTCAGGAAGTAAGATTAGAGGTGGGGTTGAAAACAGGAGGATTGGTCCAAAGTGCCAAAGAATCAAGACTCCAGATCTCGTCTCCCACCCCTAACAAAAATTTCTGAATTGGCCAACCCCGTGAACAACTGAGGGTGGGAGTACCATGCTAAAAACAGAGGGCTGAAGTGAAAACCTAAATACCAAATGCTGAGACTCCTCTGTCCATATATCTCTTCCTCTGTTGGGCTTTCAGACTGTTGGTAGCCAAGCTGATAGTTTTCAATCAGGAGAACAGAAGATTCTTCTTTAGGTACATTCCAACCAGTAACGACAAAAGATCTAACAACACTGACATTGAGGAACAACTAATCCAGACCACTCACTCTCTAAGGAAGCCCACAGTCGACAAGTTCCACCTATGTGCACAGCTTCCAAACAGCCCCACTCTTACATATGAACATATGAATGGACAACTGAGGATTACCATGCACTTCAAGAAAGTCTGTAACATAAAAGAACAAAACGAATAGGAAAAAAAAGCAACTTGCAGGAAACAGACCCTGGAGAAAGAGGAAAACCTGAAACAAAACAAAACTCCCAAATTATCATTAATATCTTTAAAGAGGTGATAGATACACCAACCATGAAACAAGAAAAAGATACTGTATAAAAAAGATACATTCAGAGAAGAAAAAAAAAAAAGGAGTTCTTGGAAATTAAAAATATAATAGCAGAAATGCAAAATCCAACAGAAGGAATGGAAGGTGAAAACGATTTTTAAAAAGACAAATAAGAAATAGATCAGAAAAGATAAGTCTATGAGGGCCAACATCCCAGAAAAAAGGCCAACATTTCCTCCTTTCTTGTCCCCTCCCTCCCTTCTTCTGGAGGGAAAGAGGGAGGGAAGTTAGCGTAGGGAGAGAGGGAGAAAAAATTCCCCAGAAGTGAAGGTTAGGAGCTTCCAGAGCACTAAGTAGCTAACATAACAGATGAAAATAAATTCACGTCAACATCAAAGCACATCACTGTGATTTCCAAACACTAGGGACAAAGATCGGAAATCTTCCAAAGAAAAATAGCACAGGACTTCTCAACAGTGATACTGAGACGACAACAGAGCACTGATTTAAAAATTCTGAAGGGAAAATATTTCAAAACTAAAATTTTATACCCAGCCATTTGATCAACTAAATGTGAAGGTGAAATAAAGGCTTTTTCAAATAGATAGTGTCTCAAATTTTCTCCTTCATGCTTCACTTCTTAGGAAGCTATCAGAGGATATGATCCAACAGAATGAAGGAGTACACCAAAAACCAAGAAGGCATGCAAACCCAGGAAACAAGGAATCCCACACAAGAGAGGCACAAAATCCCCAAGATGTCAGTAAAGGAATATTCTTGATGACAGTTTAGTAGAGGTACAGACAAAGCAGACCAGATGGAAGAAAGACAGAGGCTCTAGGAAAGAAGTCTCTGGGAAGCTGAGTGGACAGACTATGTCTGAATGAGCTGAAAGGAGATTTATACTTGAAGCATAGGGAAGGGGTGCACAGGAACAGTGAGAAAAAGAATCTTCATTTCTCAGAGTGGGAAAATGAATTGGTAGATAATGCCTTAAACTGAAAAGTCAAGCAGTAGCAACAGTAGTTATTTAGAGACGTGGAGGTAAATACCAAAAGAAACAGCTTTAAAAAGAGCTAAAAGTGGGAAAGAGAATTGCAATAAGCCATAAACAACTGTTGGCATGTAGAACTTTTATGAAAGAAAAATATCAGAAGAAATGCAACAAAACGTTACCTAGAGGTTAGCTTTGGGTGGGAGGGTATACAGCTTTTACATATTTTCTTCAGACTTTTCTATATGTTTCCCATTTTCTACAATGAAGACATATTTCTAATATTCTTATCATCTAGAAAAATAAGTTTTCTGCAAGAAGAGAGTACTCTGGATTTTGTCAAGAGGAACAGTTCTCATACCAGATCCTGGAGAAGAGCGCTCCTCTGAAGGCCACGGGATCTCCAGGGCTGGCTGTCAGACGTCAGGTGGGCTATGACACCTGCTGCAAAATAGCTGACTTCCATTTCTTTGCTCTGGAGCAAGCTGCTGACATGCTTCACCACACCCTCTGCCATCAGCTCAGAGGAGAGAGCTCTGACTTCAGCCACGTTGTTCTACAGGTCAGATGGAGCAGAGAATATCAGGGAGAGGAAAGGAGGGGAGCATCAGGAATTGGTTCCTCTCCCTCTGCTCTTACCAGGTCAGATACATTCCGAACGCTTGGTCCCAGCCTCCTCCCTCTCTACCAGCTAACACCCACAATTCCACCCCTTGATAATGAGGATGATCAGTAACAACAAAGCATTGAGGAAGCACTTACTAAGTGCCAGGCACTATACTAAACAAAAATGTCTTTTTATCTGCCTTATCTCGTTTAATCTTTGAAATAGTCAAACAAAAAATGTGCCACTCAGTAAGACTGACTCGTCAGATTCACACTGCTAATGACTAGTTGAACCAGAAGACAAATCCAGGCCCGACTCAAATACTCCACGTTCCTGGGACCTACTACATGACCCATTAGCTCGAAGGTTAACAGTAACAATGAAGGGCAGGTAGTGTTTTCTTTATTTTATATTTTGTATTAGTCTTCTATGCTGTGTAACAAATTACCACAAACTCAGTGGCTTAAAGCAACATACATTTTTTCTCTCACAGTTTCTGTGGGTCAGGAGTCCAGGCATGACTTAGTGAGTCCTCTACTGTGAGGTCTCACCAGGCTGAAATCAAAGTGCTGGCTGGGCTGCATTCTCATCTGGAGGCTCCAGTGGGGGGAATCTACTTCAAAGCCCACTCAGACTCTTGGCAGAATTCATTTCCTTGTGGCTGCAAGACTGAGGGTTTCAGTTTCTTGCTGGAAGACACCCTGAGCTCCTAGAAGCTATCCACAGTTCCTGCCATGCAGGCTTCTCCCTTCTCCAAGCACTTACTTCAGGGCAGCTTGCTTCTTCAAAGCAGCAAGAAAGTCTCTCTAGAGTGTCTGCTAGCAAGATGAAATTAAATCTATATTGTAATATAATCACAAGAGTGATATATATCCTATCATCTTTGCCATATCTATTGCTTAGAAGCAAGTCATAGGCCCTGCCCACACTCGAGGGAAGGGCAATTCACAAAGACATGGACAGCAAGAGACTGAAATCACTGGGGGCCAATTTAGGATCATCTGTCTACCACACAGATGAATAAACAAAGGTTTAGAGGTGAAACACACAGTCAAAGTGAAGACAGCGTTTACTGCTCCTCTTGAAGCAGCTTTCAGAAAGTACACCCTGTAGACTAGTATTCTGAAAAAAGCACATGGCCACTACACAGACAACTGGACCGTTTTGAGATCCACTCCACCCCACAACAGTGTTTCCAAAGACCAGCTATATCCCTCGTGTCAATAGCATGATTTCAGCAAAACCTGCACTGTTCTGAGATTCCCGCAGTTTCCCCAGGGCCAGCTGTGTGCTTCATCAACAGCACGATTTCAGCAGTACGTCCATCAGACGGCAGCCCCAAACAAGGAGAGGCAACATGATACACAGCTTCCTCAGCACAACAGAGACACCTCAGGTGAGTCCCAAGACTTCTCTTCTAAGCTTGGCAGAGGCTACTTTTCTATTAGCATTTTCTTTCCAAGAGTCTACGGAACAAAATGTTGAGAAGATGGGAGCCACAGGAGAAAGTGAGTCCTCTTCATTCAGAGAAAGAAAGCAAAACGGGCAACCTCATAGACCCTCAGCATTCTGAGAGGCCCTCAGAAGGACGGAAAGTTAAGGATCTCCCAGGTCAGCTAGGAGGATACTCAGCACTATACAGGATGTATGAGGTGTCAATCCACCTTCCTGGCCTCATTTCCCATTGCTTTTCTTCTTCCCACCTTCTCTGAAAATTTCAGTCTGTATTACAGTGTCCCTCAAATGATTACACTTTCTCATCTTCCCTAGCCAAAAATAACCTTTATCCCCTACTTCTTTTGTCCCTTCCTTCTACTTTTCTCTACCTTCCAGATTTCCAATATTATCATGTATTCCTCTGTGTTTCAAGTCCTATATGTGCTAGGGAGACAAAGGAAAAGACATAGTACCTAATGTCAAGGAGTTCATGATCTAGAATCAAAGGTTCCCTCTGGACTTTGTGCCTTTTTTCCAGTACTTAGCATATAGTCAATCTTCAACTAGAGAACTCTCCGTATGCATGTCCACCACCACATCCCCAATGTTACGAGCACCATCAGCTTGATGGATTTCATGCATCTGCATCGCCCATAGCAACAGCATGGCAAACTGCAGGGCCTTCAAGTATGTTTTCATTACTTTTTGCAAATTTTCACCTTTATCTTTAGGAAACAAAGGAATTTCTCAATAATGAACATCCTGATTGAGAGGTAGTATATAGAAGTATAAACAACAAATTTCTAAAAACCTGATTGCCTTGTTAAAGAGGAAGTATAGCAAAGTGGTTAGTGTTAGAACCTCTGGAGCCAGACTGCCTGAGTTTGAATTCTGATTCTGCCTCTTACTACCTAGGTGACACAGGGTAAAAGGCACTTCTGTGCCCCAGATTCTATGTCTATAAAATGTAGATGACCATTCGTGGTCAAGTATAGAATCTAACACAATTTTTCCTATCCCTGTGTATACACCCCTTAGCAATGTGACTTTGCTGCTTCTCCCATCAAGGGATGGACAACTCCTTTAATCTGGGCTTAACCATGGGCATAGTAAGTAATATATATATTTGGCCCTCGTCCCCAGTTCCTGACACAGAGCTTTTAAATCCCTTGGAATTTCTGGAGTGATAGGAGCATCTTTGTTCTAATCAGGCGACTCTTGGCAGGCACCTAGATAGCTTCAGGAAGGGAGCTGGTTGCCAGAAACAGCAAACCTTGATTACAAGCCAGAAACTTTCAGCCCCTCTCCCCAACCTGTGGGGGGAGGTGGGAGGGGCTGAAGATTGAATTAATAATTGATCCTATGTGATGACCCCATAAAAACTCCTAAACGATGGGGTTTGGAGAACTTCTGAGTTGGTGAACACATCAAGGTGCTAGAGGGGGGTGTGCCCAGTGATGGCAAGAAGGCTCTGTGCACACCCCTCCTTCCTTGCCCTACCCATCTCTTCCACTGGACCGTTTCTGAGTTGTAGCCTTTATAATAAACTGATAACAGCAAGTAAAGTGCCTTCCAGAGTTCAGTGAGCCATTCTAGCAAATTATCAACCTGAGAAAGGGGGTCATGGAAACCCCCAATTTATAGCCAGTGAGTCAGAAGTACAGGTGGCCCAGGATTTATGACTGGCAATTAAAGTGGGGGCACAGTCTACTGGGACTAAGCTCTTTAACTTGGGGGGGTCTGATGCTAACTCTGGGTAGTCAGTGTCAGAACTGAATTGAACTGAATTGCAGGACACCAAGCTGGCGTTGCCGAGTTAGAGAAGTGGTTGTTGGAAAACACCCTAGACCATATCACCTGCTTTGGCCAACAAGACATTAGAAAATGTGACATAAGTAGAGTTTTAGAAGCTACCTGTACAGTGAGACTTGCCTTCTATTGCTGCCCTGAAACTGCCAAGTGAAGAAGCCCACCAAGACTCAAGGCCCAGCTAACAACCTGTATGAACCATGACATAAGCGAGTCAGGCCACCTTAGAGCACCCAACCCCATGTGAGCCACCAGATGGCTGCAGCTACGTGAGGAACTCCACAGGAGACCAGCAGCAGAACTCCACAGCTGAGCTCAGTTCAAACTGTTGACTCACAGATTCCTAAGTAAATAAAATGGCTGCTGTTTTAAGCTGTAACTGTTCACAGCAATAGATGACTGCTATATAATAGTATTTACTTCACAGGGATGATGTGAAGATTAAACGAGCTAATACATGCAAATTGCTTCCAAGAGTGCCTAGCATATAGTAGGTACTACGTAAGTGTTAGTTTTCTTATTTTTTCTAAGTATTTAGAATTAACTCAAAACAATTCACCTTACCAAAAGACCAAGTACTTTGCTTTGTATTGCTGACTCTGAAAAAGTCTGTCAAAAGAATATACAGGTTACTTTACCATAAAGAAAAGAACTTTACATATAAACTCAATCCTGTCTTCCCACCTCCAAGACGTGGATGAAGATTGCCAGTCCTTGATTTTCAATAAAGTGCTTGCAGGCGGCTGGAGACTCATCTGTAAGATTCCAAAGTGCTTTCAAAGTAAACAAGAGGGTGACATCATCTAAGTTCTCAGTAGTCTTTTGTTTTACTATTGCTAGAAGTTCCTAAAAACCAAAGAGACAGGGAGTTAGATGTCCTGATGACTGACTCAATTCCAACACAAGGAAAGCAATAGTTAAAAAAAGCTTCAGAATCAAACCTGGGTTCTAAACCCAAGTTCCACCACTTAATAGGTTTGTGACCCATTTTCTCTTTATAGAATGAGTTGCACCTATCTCCTAGGGTTTTTATGAGGATTACATGAAAAAAGAAAATTAAAAGTTTAATGAGCACTTAGAGTTATTGGTGCTTGTTAGTAAACCTCATAATCAAGTACCTATTAGCTATTTCATTATTCATTTATTGAGAATGTTTACTCAACACTTTTTGGAAGTCAGGCACTTATTGAGGGAAAACAGACAGAAGATAAAAAAAAGACAGTTGGTTTTTCTGAACTATAATAAAACAATTTTAAGTTTTAGTAAATGTTCTGAAGGAAACAAATAAAAGCCTAAGAATTTACTCTAGAAAAGGCGGGAGAGAGAAACCTCCATACAAAGTTAGTTTGTAAACGGGGACCAGAAGAAAAGGAGGGTAAGCCAGCAAAGCAAGAAAGTGGGGGGAGAGAGGGGATTTGCCAGGCAAAGAAAAAGTTTGCTGTTCTGGGCCTTTGAGCAGGTCCGTATAGCCAGAGGATAACGCTAGTATTATAACCTTATGTCCTAACAGCTTAAAGAAACCACTGGCTCATTTTAACAGAGATTCCAACATACTATTTCAGATCAGAATACTTCACATATTAACACAAGTTAAGCCAGTGTTTATGCCTTCTCTCAAGCATATTAGACTGACATGTAGGAGGTAAAAGATAGCCAATTTTCACTGAACCAGCTAATGAAAAGATACATAAAACATATCAGCACTAAACAAATCAGACTACATCTATTTTCAGGAAGAACGCTGTTGTCAGTGCCCTCAACTCCATTCTGACTCCTAGTGACCCTGCGAACAGCGGAGCAGGACCCTGCTCAGTATTTTTGTGCCATCTTCTCACATTCCAGTGCTATATCAGACCATGGTATTCATAGGGTTTTCATGGCCAATTTTTTCAGAAGTGGGTGGGGCCAGGTCTTTCTTCTTGGTCTGTCTTAGTCTAGACGCTCTGCTGAAACCTGCCGCCAAGGGTGACCCTGCTGGTATTTACAAGACTGGCAGATAGCTTTCAAGCAGCTGCCACAATGTGACAACAGATAGACAGATGCTATGGTTTCCTGACTGAGAAATGAACCCAGACCACAGCAGTGAGAACACCAAATCTTAACTACTAGACCACCAGGCCTGGCTTCAGGAGGAACGAGACCACCTCAAATATTTTACCCAACCAAGAGAGAACGTATCAAGAGAATTCATCACAAAAATATAGCTGTGAAAACCAAGAGGAGAATATAAAAGTGGCACACAACACTGTAACAATCATCCAGACAGCCAATAGGTGTGTGGTGGCAAGACAAGGGAGGGAGCAGAGGAAGTGAGGCAGACCCTGAAAGTAACGATGACTCTGGCCAGACCCATGGTCAGAGGCTTTACATATTTTATCTTAATGACACTCAATGTAACTGCCAAACAAATATTACTCCTCTGACAGCGGTGTGTTTTCCAGGAGATACCAGCGTTTCAGATGAAGAGTCTGAGGCAGAGAAGAGATAAGTAAAGTATCTAAGGTCTTACGGCTAGTGGTTGAACCTGTTGTTTTAATCGAAACCCTGAACTTTTGGTACCACTAGCTAAAACTGTTTCTCCAAGGACTACAGTGTGCTACTCTGTCCTCCATGTATTTTCAGTACCTGGTCTCTATACCAATATCAATCTCTCTCTCTCTCCACGTACTCCTGCTATCGTTCCCAGCAACTTCAATGTTCCTCCACCACATCATCTTGGCAAAACTCCTCCCTTACCTAAACCACACTTCATGACCACCCCCAAACATCTGAATACTCCTAAAGGCTGTGCTCGAGTCGCACTTCCAATATCTGCCAAAAATCTCAAAGGGGCATTCAACCATACCTGGCAATCCTACTGTATTATAGCTCAAGGAATTTGCTCCAAAGTCTACTATTTCACAATTCTCTCTCCTCAAACTTTAGCTGCCATCTTTTTACTCCTCTCATTTAATGACTTCATCTAATTTTTCACTGAGAACTATAGCTATTCTTCCTAACAAAATCTACCAACCTGCTCGCACTTGCATCATTGTACTTTGCCTTCCTTTCTGCTCCAATCAAAAGCAAACATCTTTACTTCTATTCTATAGACAATTCCTGTACACACACAAAGATATGGCACCAAAATTACGTCCCTCTGTCTTGTCTATGCCATCACTTTTTCCTGTTTCAGAATTATTTTCATGGCCATAAAACACATCTTAATGTAACCCACTTGGAAAAATAAACTACTGGCTCCACATAATAGCTTTATTTCTCTGCCTACTCATCAGGGGCCAGCCCGGTGGCCGAGTGGTTAGGTTTGCACACTCGGCTTCGGCGGCCCAGGGTTTCGCCAGTTAGGATACTGAGCACAGACCTAGCAGCACTCAAAGCCATGCTGAGACGGCATCCCACACAGCAGAACTAGAAGGATCTACAACTAGAATATACAACTATGTACTAGGGGGCTTTGGGGAGAAGAAACAAACAAACAAACAAATAAATAAAATATATCAAAAAGTTATCTCCATTTCTCACCTCCCATTTGCTCATCTTTGTACTCCAACCAGGTTTTGTCCCACTACTCTACTATGATAACATAAGATGACTAATGATTTCCATCTTGCCAAATCTAGTGGTTAACACACTCAAAACCACTCATCTCAATCACTCAATAGCATCTCACATGACTGCCCAATTTCTCTCAAATATTTCTCTTGGATTCTAAGACACCAGTCTCGCTTGATTTTCTAACTCGTTTTGGATGTTCCTTCCCTATCTCCTTTCCTGTCTCCTCTTTCTCTTCCCACATAGTATTGTAGCCCTTTTCTTCTCTCTATATATACTCCACATTTTCCAAGTGTTTGCGTCCCATATCAGAACTAGTGACTCAAATGATCTCTCTAGCCCTGTCCACTCCTCTGATATCAAGTTGTCTACTTGATATCTCAAGCATCTCAGAAATTAACACATTCAAATTCACTCTCGATTTTTACCCTCTAAACCTACTGGCTCAAGACCAAATACTCATAAGATTCCACTTATAACAACATGCAAAAGGTAAAAGCCTTAAGAATAAATGTAAGAAGTGTACAATATCAACATGAAGAAAACATCTACATACTTCTGGGGGACAGGAAAGACTGAATAAATGGAATAACATATGCTCTTCTCAGATAGGAAAAATCAACATCACAGAGATGTCAATTCTTCTAAGCCAATCTATAAATTTAACATACTCCCAAAGAAAACAGGGCTTTCTGTGTTCACACAGAAAAACCAAACAGACAAAAAAACTGAAAAAAATCCAAGGAAAGGTCTTAACTATTAAAGGATTTATAAAGTCAATAAATAAAAAGTGTGACAGCATGTAAATAGACATACAAATTCATGGAAGAGAATAAAGTCCAGAAATAGATGCAATTATATATGTGAATTCAATATATGATAAAGGTGGCAATGCATAACAGTAGAGAAAAGATAAATCATTCAATAATAGGAAAGAGGCAACTGAGCAGACACTGAGGGAAAAAAAAGACCCCGAAATCTCAAAACAAAACCAAACCAAAAAAACCCCAAGTAAACCAAATACTTACATGTTAAAAGAAAGAAAAAGGAAACCAAGGGTAAAAAAAAAAAATTGAGAAATTTAAAAAAAATACTCCATGGAGTAGGGAGATACTTTCAAAGTGTGCCATCAATCCTAGAGGCACAAAAGAAAATAACTTCAACCATATAAAAATTAAAAAATTACTGCACAGCAAAACATTCCGTAAACAAAGTAAAAACAGACAATTGGGGAAAAATACATGCATCTCATATCATGGTCAAAGGCTCATTTCCTTAATATATTAAAAAAATCTTATAAATTAGAAAAAAGCCAGCAACCCAAAAGAAAAACATGTAAAGGCCAAAATATTCTCACAGAAAATATAAATGATTCTTTAAAAGAAAGGATGGCTCAAGGGCTGGCCCCGTGGCCGAGTGGTTAAGTTTGTGTGCTCTGCTGCAGGCGGCCCAGTGTTTCGTTGGTTTGAATCCTGGGCGCGGACATGGCACTGCTCATCAAACCACGCTGAGGCAGCGTCCCACATGCCACAACTAGAAGGACCCACAATGAAGAATATACAACTATGTACCGGGGGACTTTGGGGAGAAAAAGGAAAAAAATAAAATCTTTAAAAAAAAAAAAAAAAAAGGATGGCTCAAGTCTTCTCTCAAAATAAGACAAGTGCAAAATAAAACGATGTACATTTTTCAGTAAGCAATGTTAGCATAATCATAATGTAAATACTGATTACTGATTTATTAAAAATTGTGATAATCAGCTAGGGGTTGGAGAAGGAGACAATCTGTAGAGATATATGAAGGAGAGCCAGGTTCTTATTTACCACAGCAGCAGAATCACCAGACATCTAAAACTGATAAATCAAGAAATCGCAGTTATAAGCATTTTATTCAGAGATGTGGAGGTAAATACCAGAAGAAACAGCTGCAAGAGTAGAAAGTAGTTCCTTCTGGGGAGCAGGTCTTACAGATTTTTCATTTTACAGGCCTTTTAGAATGATTTGATTTTCTTAACTAGGTTCATAACCTACTTTTATTTAAAAGAAAGGTTATAGGGCTGGCCCTGTGGCTGAGTGGTTAAGTTCTCCCACTCCGGTTCAGATCCTGGGTGCGGACACGGCACCGCTCATCAAGCCATGCTGAGGCAGCGTCCCACATGCCACAACTAGAAGGAGCCACAACTAAAATACACAACTATGTAAGGGGGAGGGGGGGGAGATTTGGCGAGAAAAAAAAAAAAAGCAGGAAAAGAAAGGTTATAAAAGTGATGATGAACCTACTTTCACTGCTATGAAGAGCTCTTCCTGAAGTTGTGTGGCTTCCTCGGGAGAGAGCTGTAAACAAACAGGCAAGGGTGCAATGTTAGGCCTCCATCACGGCCCCAGCAAGACCAAGGAGGGAGACACCTTGCCTCAGCAATCACATACCTGCAGGGCTAGAATTGAGATGACGCTCACCGCCATTGTCTGCATTTTGGGGTTCTCATGCTTACAGAGCCATCTCATAACAAACTTTGCAGCATCGTACCTGAAAAGCAGTATTTTTCTCACAATAAAGTTTGTGAAATTGTATATGAGGAGAGAAGTCACTTAGCCTCCCCAACAAATCCTGTAACGAAAACAGTCTTGGACTAGAAGCCTCAGCTATGAAAGCCAAGAGCATCTGGCAAAAGAGACGATCTGAAGAAGAGAACATGCAAACAACGTGAGCAAAATGCGCAGGATTCAAAGAAAGATGGACAGATTTAAGAAAGACTTACTTTTTTAGCATTCAGTTTCTACTATGATGGGTCTGAAAAAGGAAAGAAGCTCCCTGAGAGAGAGGTAAGTTGTAATCTGAATTGTAGTTAGTGCTAAAATGCCACAGCAAACAAATCACTTAGCTAGAGAGAACTCACGACCTTTTATAGGGTCAGTTACTCAGCTCCAACTCATGATCACTATGCAGGAATGAAGATTGAACTGAGAAAGACCCTCCTACTTTTCAAGAGAAGGTGGAAATATACATCTCTTTAAATAAGGAAGACCACCTTCTCACTGTGTTTTTAAAAGTCAACTCCCGGGGCTAGCCCCGTGGCCGAGTGGTTAAGTTCTCATGCTCTGCTGGCCTAGGGTTTTGCCGGTTCGGATCCTGGGCATGGACATGGCATGGTTCATCAAGCCATGCTGAGGTGGCGTCCCACATGTCACAACTAGAAGGACCCACAACTAAAAATACACAACTATGTACTGGGGGGTTTTAGGGAGAAAAAGGAAAAAATAAAATCTTTAAAAATAAATAAATAAAATAAAAGTCAACTCCCATTTTAAATACACAATTCAATTAGATTTGAGAATGGCTTGGCCTACAACCCTGCACCCACAAATCACAGCCTTTGTTCATGTCAGCCTGTGCTCATGTCAGCAACTATGATAAATGTTTTAAACTCATGAATTAGGGAGTTACAAAGGCATCTAAGAGGAATCCCTCTGGAGTCTAGGATAATGATTTTTTTTAAATTACAATCAATAAAATAATAAAAAGAATGACTAATGTTTAGAACAGCCTTGACTTCTTAAGCTGGGCACTGATAAGTACTTTACTAACATTATCATATCTAATCTCCTAAAAGTCACTATTTTACAAATAAGAAAATTTATGCACAAAGATAATGGGAAGGCTAGAACTGGAATCTAAGTTTAATGTTTGACTCTGGAGCCCATGTTCTGAGCACCCACTTGCAATCACATTTCTGGAAGAGGCTCAACAGAGCATTCTCCCCAAACACCCTACCCCAGCCTTAATCAAACCCTTGCCAACCTAATACCCAAAAACTAACAATGCTCAGAGTAACACTGATCAAGACTCCAAAACCAGATGACCAAGTTTCATACTTGCCTGTCAAATGGGACATCCACAAGAATCCTCGAATTGGTTAAGGAGAGAAGACAATTCTTCTGTAACTTTAAGGGAATAAAGAAAAACAATTTTCAGTAAATGTATACTCCATTCTAAATAAAGGTTCTAAGCATTTGGAAGGTGCTACCAATAAACTTTTCTTATTGAAATCTCACTGTATACATGGCCCTCTCCAAGTTCTTCACTTAATCTTAGTAATCTTAGTAATAAACTCTGTCACATTCACTTTTCCCTAAAGAAAAATCTTCCCCTTTTTTGGCAAAGAGCAGGTCTCCTGCCCCTGAATCCTAGAAGGATCTTTGTGGAGAGTAGCTGGCCAGTATGTCAGTCCAAGTCAATCAGCTGAAGCCCATACAGTGAAAGACAAACGTCCTTAACAGGTATCTCGTAACTAACTCTGTGACAGAGCTTCTACAGTCTACCTAAGATTGGCAGGAGTTGAACAGGTCCTTTACAGATAGTAAAGAAAGAGAGAAGGGCTCCTGGGAAAGCCAGGGGAATAGAAAATACAATACCTCTTTGAAAGGCGATGAGTAAACCAGTAAGACAAAAGTATACTATATGAGGCAGGGGCAGCAAATGCCAACAGGAATTAGGCAGTAACATAAACAAGTGAAGAGAGCTGAGTATGAAACAACAGGAGAGTAGTAGGAATCATGGCAGGCTGAAGAATTCATGCCCTTTTATTGGAGGAGTTGTTAGCTCCAACTGACAATTGCCATGTAGGAATTAAGACTGAACTGAGAATGATCTTCCAACTTTTCAAGAGAAAGTGGAAGTATAATTTTTTTTAAATGAGGATCACCTTCTTTATTGTATTTTTTGTTGTTGTTGAGAAAGGTTTGCCCTGAGCTAGTATCTGTTGCCAATCTTCCTCTTCTTTTTTTTGTCCTTGAAGAAGATTACCCCTGAGCTAACATCTGTGCCAGTCTTCCTCTATTTTTTTCTATATGGGTCACCACCACGGCATGGCTGACAAGTGGTGTAGGTGCATGCCCAGGATCCAAACATGCGAACCCAGGCTGCTGAAGCAGAGCGCACCAAACTTAACCACTATGCCATGGGGCCAGTCCCTTCCTTACTGTATTTTTTAAAATCAATTTCCATTCTAAGTACACACTTAAATTAGATTTGACAAATTTATACAGTTGTATAACCACTACCACTCACCATCGCCACAATCAAGATAAAAGATACTTCCATCATCCCACCAAAGAGTTCTACTGCATCCCCTTCCAGTCAATCCTGACCTTGCAAACTAGAGCCCCAGAAAATGACACTGTCCTTACAGAATAGTCTTTTCTAAGGTTTCACATAAATGGCATCATACAACATCTACTCTTTTGTGTCTGGCTTATTTCACTCAGCACATGTGTTTGAGATTCATCCACATTGCATCTATCAGTACTTCATTCCTTGTATTGCCAGAGGGCATTTCCTTACATGAATATATCAATTTATCTATTTACCTATTGTTGGACTTCTGGGAAGTTTTCAGTTTGGGGGGATTATGTAAGATATTATGAACATTCATATATTAGTCTCTATATGGACATATGATTTCATTTCTCTAAGACTAGAATGACTGGGTAGCATGGAAGGTATATGTCTAACTTTAAGAAACTTTAAGTTTAGCTTTAAGTTTCTTTAAGACTACTAGACTGTTGAACTGGTGATTTTATCATTTTACATTCTTAATATCAAGATATGAGAATTTCAGTTGCTCCACACACTTGTCAACACTTGGTATTGTCAGTCTTTTAATTTCAACCAATCTAGGGGGTGTATAGTGGTATCTAGGTATGCAGTGGTACCTCACTGAGATTTTAATTTGCATTTCCCTGAAGACTAAAGATACTGAGCATCTTGTCGTGTGCTCATCTGTCATCTGCATATTTTCTCTGGTGAAATGTCTATTCAAATCTTTTGCCTTTTTAAAAAATTGGTTTGTCTTGGCTTACTGAGTGAAGAGTTCTTTATATTCTCGATAAAAGTCCTCTGTCGCATATAGAAAATGAACATTTTTCCCAGCCCATGGTTTACCTTTTCATTTTTTAATGTTTTTGTCTATGTGTGTTTGTGAGCAGAAGCTTTCAATTTTGATGAACTCTACTTTACCATTTTTCTTTTATGATGTATGCTTTTAGCATCCTAAGGAACTGTGCTACCTGGAGGTCACAAACATTTTTTTCTATTTTTCTTCCACAAGTTTTACGGACTTAGCTTTTATATTTAGAACTATCATTCAACACAATTTTCACATAAGATGTTAAGACTACAGAGATGTACCAAAGTGCTAATAGCAGATGTTTCTAGGCAACTGGCTTCTGAGAAATTTTAAAAAATGTAAACCCTATTGCTCATCATATTTCCTATTTTTTCTACAACAAACATGACTTCTGTATCTATTGTCTCTCTCCTTCTCTTTTTCTCTCTCAGGTAGAATGTAAAATCAGAACTAAATAATACATATTTTGCATATATTTGGCCTGAAGTAAGAAGCACAGTCAAGTGTTCAAATTACCTGCTGACAATGGGGGAAATTTTTCAGAGCCTTGAAAAGTAGACAGGTGACCTCTGACAACAGACGAACAGGCATCCCCCTGGCCAGGCCTTGGCGGGTTAGGTTGAGGGCGCATGCACTGGCTGTGAACTGCACTGGCAGATCCAATGGATGATTCCTCATTCCTATAGCCACAAGCTGAAGATGAACTTGTTTTTAGTGGCATATGACAACATCAGCATTCTTTATACCATCTTATTTTTGTGTTAGTTAGAAAAATATTTTGCTCTGGGTCAGAAAATAAAATATTTTCCCTATCCTCAGCATATATTTTAGTATATCGGCAATACCTTCCAATCCAAATGTTGCCATTGACTAGCTGTGAGACTAGGCAAGTCATTTCCCTTCTCTGGACCTCCGTTTCCTCATCTGTGATTTCATAATCATTTAGTGAGCCTCACTCCACAGGAGGCACTGTGATAAGCACTGGAGAGGACACAAACGTGAGTTACCTGCACCCTATTCCTTAGCATAAAGCCTTGAGAGAGAAATAAGGTATGTAAACAAGTAACATTGTGAGGGATGTCAAAACATGGAAATGGAAAAAAGCACCATAAAAAGGTATAAACAAAGTGCTGCCTAAAGAAGTTACGGAGGAAGCAATCATTTCTAGTATGGAATCAAAAGGCTTCATTCAGAGCTCATTTAGGCAGGGTCTCAGATAGGATATAGACAGAAGGAGGTGGAGGTGGAATGAAGAGGGGATTCCTAGGGAAGGGAAATGTGATAAGGAAAAACACATCAGGTGGACAAAAGGATGGGATGAATCCAGCCAAAGAAGAGGGAAAAATCTGAATTTGAAAGAATATGAAAAGTGGGAGAATATAACATTAGAAAGGTAATTAAAAGACAGACTATGGAAGACCTAGAACACAAATATAAAATGAAGGTATTATACTAGCTGAGACTACATCTCCCCTAACATTAAGGGGCGATGTGATTTGTTCTATCAAATAGGAATAACCATGCTTACCGACCTCAGACACCAGTCAGCTGACACTCGCATGAGCTGTGATTTTAAGTCCCTCACTCTGACAGGTGCATGAATTCATGGAGCCTAAACAAAGACCTAAGAGACTTCTACCATGCAAAATGACTTTTCCTTTCTTGCTAAACTGCTCTTAGGATTTCACTGGATCGCCATCATCCACAACTTAAAATGCTGAAACTAAAAAAAACATGATTTTCAAAAATTACAGACTCTTAAGAAATGAAAGGATTTTTCAGGACATCTAATTTAATCTCCTCATTACAGATGGGAAACAAAGGTCCAGAGTTTTTTCTCTATGTAGTTTTTTTTTTTTTTTTTGAGGAAGATTAGCCCTGAGCTAACTGCTGCCAATCCTCCTCTTTTTGCTGAGGAAGACTGGCCCTGAGCTAACATCCGTCCCATCTTCCTCTACTTTATATGTGGGACGCCTACCACAGCATGGCTTGCCAAGCGGTGCCATGTCCGCACCTAGTATCCAAACAGGCGAACCCCGGCCACTGAAGCGGAACGTGCACACTTAACCACTGCGCCACCGGGCTGGCCCCTCTCTACAGTATTTGCTTTTAAGTTATGAATAAACCTGGGGCTGGCCCCGTGGCTGAGTGGTTAAGTTCGCCCACTCTGCTGTGGCGGCCCAGGGTTTCGCTGGTTCGGATCCCAGGCACAGACATGGCACCGCTCATCAGGTCACGTTGAGGCAGCGTCCCACATGCCACAACTAGAAGGACCTGCAACTAAGATATACAACTATGTACCAGACGGGATGTGGGGAGATAAAGCAGAAATCAATCAATCAACCTAATTACCTATGGCATAAAAATAGCTATATATATATATATATATATATATATATATATATATATATATATATATTTTAAAGATTGGCACCTGAGCTAACATCTGTTGCCAATCGTTTTTTTTCCTCTCTTCTTCTCCCCAAAGCCCCCTAGTATATAGTTGTATATTCTAGTTGTAGGTCCTTCTGGTTGTGCTATGTGGGAGGACACTCAGTATGGCCTGATGAGGGGTGCCACATATACACCCAGAATCCGAACCGGCGAAACCCTGAGCTGCCGAAGCAGAGCGCATGAACTTAACCACTCGGCCACAGGGCTGGCCTGGAAATAGCGATATTTTTAAGGAACTGGAAAGAATTACAAATAATAAAGACAAGGTGACTTTAAGACTTCAGTTTCACGTTATATTTAATTTTATATAATCATAATTTTCTTTTCTCAAACCACTTAATACTTCCAATTACAGTTAAAATAAATTCATCCTTCTGTAAACCAAAGTTTAGCCTCATCAATACCGGTAATTTTACTTTATTCACAAAATACTTTAAATGGTAAATTTGGCAACTTCAATTATTGTTATTTTGTTCTGTTCTGATTATGGACAACATTGTTGTTTTCCTTCAGAAAACCAGATGTCAGATTTTAAAGAGTAAATGAATAAACAAGAAACATTTACAGCAAAGTGAATTCACGTTTATAGATTACTAAGTCCTGTTTTAGGCAAAATAATGCAATGGTCCTATTATCCCCATCTCAGACCAAATTCAAATAATCAGATCACTTAAACTGATTCAGATGCTCACAATGAGAGAGAATCTAGCAGTTACGCCGAACTAGCACTGTTTTCCATTCTTCATGAGGGCAGTTATTCTCACTGTAGAATAAGGCATGTGAGTTATTGTATTCAGTGTGTTTGATGAACAACTTTAACTGAACCAAGTAAGAAAGTAATAATAAAACCCACCCTTCTGAGGAGTGATTACCTTTAAAAGAGCAGGCATGGTTACCTGCATTGAAAACGTCTCCGTGAAGAGCCTGTAGAGGGCCTCCTGCATAAAACATGACCTATTCTTGTATCGGCTCAGTGCTTCTGAAATCTGACTCATACTGACTCCTCCAGCAACCTAAAAAACAAAGACGTTGTTACCAACAGGGTGGGGTCTTAAGTGTTTGAAACAATAGTAGGTGTTCAAGTAAATGTTTCAGGTGCTTTACAAAGTTGTTCTCATTCAATCATAATTCTAACAGGAAAATGTTCTCCTCAACCTCATTTTTACAATGGGTCTGGAGAGGAGAAGTGGCAAACCAAGAAAGAGGTGGAGGCAAATTCAAATACCATGTCCCTACAACTATATTACAGATAAGACCTCAACTAAAATTGGAAAATACGTAAATTTTTAAACAATGAATAACCATAAATGTATATGTCTTCTAAGTACTCATGCAGGATAAATGTGGCAATAAAAGACAGGAAAGGGCCACAAACTAACTAAAATGAAAGAAAAAGCAGTTGATCTTTTCCAGTAATAGTATTTTATTATTGGTTTAATATTAATATAATTCTTCCTTGCTACTGCTGGAAGTACTAATTTCAAAGTCTATATATAGACTTGGAGTCTGGAAGATAATGGTACCCTCCTGATCCAAACAATAAAATCAACAAGGAATGTAAATAAAACTAAATCTAACCACTTTTTAGCATTCCTGGCCAATGAAGGAAAAGAAGGAAATAAAGGGGGAAAACACAAGATCTTGAAAAATGAAAAAAAAAAAAAAACCAACCCCTTCTCCACTCCGCCCTGACTAGTAACATGATCCACCGTGCACTAAAGAAATCTCACAAGACTGCATTGATAGGAGAGTGCTTTTGATTCAAGAACCCTGTCAATTAAATGCCAAGAAATAAAAAGATTCAAACTGAGTCCAGATAAACCTATTATAAGAAATTTTTTTAAAAAGTAAATCTACACATTTCAGCTGAGAAAAATTCTTCCTATAAACCAACAACAAATCAGAAGAAAATTGTAATACAGCACTTTAAAACACATTAAATATTTTCAACAAGCATTTTGGGATATGCAAAAATACCTTCAACAAAAAGATGAAACAAGGGGTGATTAAACTCAAAGAAAAAATCATATCAAATATAAAAACTAATTTATAAGGTACCCAGGGAAGGAAAGATTTGAATAATAATTTAGTAAGGGGAATAAATGCAAGAAAAGAAACAAGAGAAGGAAACTTAAAAAAAGAAAGTAAAAAGGATCTGGATCAAGTGATGATATGGAAAAAGACAGAGATCCAACATACATATATTTGAAGTTTCTGGGGGAAAAATAAAATTACAATCAAAGGAAAACTTTCCGGAAATAAAAAAAGCCTTAAATCACGACACTGAAAGACTTCACCCAAGACCTGGGACAACTGCCCCAGATCAAGTCTGAGACACATCACAGCACAAGGAGTGAATCTAAAGAAAAAACCTTCAGGGCCCCCACATAACGAAACCAAATAAGTGACACAGAGAATTAGATTGTCATCAGACTTAATAAGCAATATACAAATAAAGGCAACCGTGGAGACGCATTTTCAAGAAACAGGGAAAGAAAAGGGTAAACAAAGGAGTTTATATGCAGCCAAGCTATACTTCAAATATCAAAGTTATAAAAGATTGAATAATAAGAACTTAGAGAATATGGATACAAGTCCCCTTCCTGAAAAATCTACTGGAGGATAAGTTTCATACAATCACGAGAGAACTGGAGAAACTTTGACAACAGACAGTGAGCATTTAATGTATTTAATTACAGATCTTTCTCCCAACCTAGACAATAAGCAACTTGGAGAATCTGTCTAATGCAACTATGTTGAAATACAGTTTATTAATTGGAGTTTACTAAAGCCTTGCAATTTCCAGGGGAAAGCTTGGACAGTAAATTGTGGTTCACTTCCATCAATTTCAACTCTTAGCACATAGCAGCCATCCACCTCCCAACCCCCAGCAACTAGCATGTGCTCCTAGATCAGCTTGCACTTAGCTTGTGGGAGCCATGGTGGAGACAAAGACTCTCTCCTACAAATACAGGGGATCTGTATTCTCATCCCTAATTGCTGCTTCTGATGCCAGGTGCAGACAAAGAGGTGGGCAGCCACTGTTGTTGCACCTCTCCAATTGTTCAAAGCTCCTCTCCCTCCAGCTAAAGTAACTTCCAGTGGATTTAAAGGACCAGCGTCCCTCCCCACCTCACCTCCCATCTTCATTTTACTCTTTTTCCCATTTGAGGAGCCAGACATTAAAAACTAAGACATGCAAAACAACTGCATATACACAGAAAATTCCACAGCAACTGCACATGCCCCCAAAAAGGCTCAGAAAAGGCCCAAAAAGACATTAAAGTTCATACCTCAGGCTCATCCTCAGCACAGATCAAAAAACCAAAACAGCAAACCCTACAGAAGGGAGAGAATATGATTTCCAGAGTTGCCAAATTATTGGTTTCAAATGTCCAGTTTTCAACAAAAAAATCACAAAGCATACAAAGGAATAGCAAAGTATGGCCCATTATTGGGGGTGGGGGGGGGGGGAGCAAGAGAAAGTGTCCCTGTAAAAGACCTCATGGCAGATCTACTAGACAAAGACTTCAAAAGAACTGTCTTAAAGATGTTCAGAGAACTAAAGGAAGACATCAAGTCAAGAAAACAATGTATGAACAAAGAGAAAAATAAAGACAGAAAACCTAAAAAAATCCAAAGAAATTCTGGAGCTAAGAAGCATAAGTTAAATTGAAAATTCCCTAGAGAGGCTGGCCCCGTGGCCGAGTGGTTAAGTTCGCGCACTCTGCTGCAGGCGGCCCAGTGTTTCGTTGCTTCGAATCCTGGGTGCGGACATGGCACTGCTCATCCAACCACGCTGAGACAGCATCCCACATGCCACAACTAGAAGGACCCACAAAGAAGAATATACAGCTATGTACCAGGGGGCTTTGGGGAGAAAAAGGAAAAAAATAAAATCTTAAAAAAAAAAAAAAAAGAAAAAAGAAAATTCACTACAGGGATTCAAAGGCAGATGTGAACAGGCAGAAGAAAGAATCAATGGACATGACGATAGGACAAAGGATTTTATGGAGTAGAGGAATGGAAAACAAAACACTGAAAAGAAGTGAACAGAGTCTAAGGAGCCTGTGGGATACCATTAAGAAAACCAACACACACACTGAGAGAGAAAGGGGCAGAGAGAATATTTGAAGAAAAAATGACCAAGAATTTCTCAAATTTGATGAAAGATGTGAATATAGACATCCAAGGAAATCAAAGAACTCCAATTAAGACGAACTCAGAAGACTCACACCAAGAGACTTTCAAAGGCCAAAGACAAAGACAGAATCACGGAAGCAGCGAGAGAGAACTAAATCATCACATACAACGCATCCTCAATAAGATTATATGCAGATTTCCCATGAGAAACTTCACAGGCCAGAAGACATATGTGCCAATACATTCAAAGTGTTAAAAGAAGAAAACTTAAACCAAGAATCCTATATCCAGCAAAATCATCCTTCAAAACTGCTGGAGAGGGGCCAGCCCAGTGGCATAGTGGTTAAGTGTGCACGTCATGCTTCGGCAGCCCAGGTTTCACCAGTTTGGATGCTGGCTGCAGACATGCCACTGCTTGGCAAGCCATGCTGTAGGTAGGCGTCACACATATAAAGTAGAGGAAGATGGGCATGGATGTTGGCTCAGGGCCAATCTTCCTCAGCAAAAAGAGGAGGATTGGCAGCAGATGTTAGCTTAGGGCTAATCTTCCCCTCCACCCCCAAGAAAGGAGAAAACTTTGGGGGGGGGGGGGGAAGTGCTGGAGAAATCAAGACATTCCCAGATAAACAAAAGCTGAGGAAATTTACTACCACTAGACCTGCCCCTCAAGAAATGCTCAAAGGAGTCCTGCAGGGTGAAGTGAAGCAGCACTAGACAGCAACAAGAAGCCATGACGAAACAATGGTCTCAATAAAGGTGAGCGCATGAGAAATTACAAAAGCTAGTGATATTTTAAAATTGGTTTGTAACTCCACTTTTTGTTTTCTACATGATTTAAGTAATACATTAAGAAAAATTATTACTATAAAAAGCTAGTGTTTTTATAACTCTGGTGTGTAACTCCAAATTTTGTTTTCTACATAAAGTAAGGGACAAATGCTTTAAAAAGAATTATTACTTTATGCTTTGAGGCCGACAATGTATAATGATGTACTTTTGGGACACGATCAATTAAAAGGGGTGGGGTCAGAGATGTAAAGGAACAATTTTTTGTTATCAAAGTTAAACTGCTATAAATTCAAATTGGAGTGTTATAACTTCAGGATGTGAGACGTAATCCCCACGGTAACCACAAAGAGATTACCTACAGAATATACACAAAAATAAATAAAAGAATTTAAACATTTCACTACAAAAGAATCAGCTAAACAAAAAAATAAAATAGTAATGCAGGAAATGAGAGGGAAAAAGCTACAAAGCACACAGAAACCAAAGAGCAAAATGACAGAAGTTGCCCTTATTGGTAATCACTTTAAATGGAAAGGGATTAAACTCTACAATTTAAAGACAAAGACTGGAAGAACGAATAAAAACACATGAATCACCTATATATTGTGCCTACAGGAATTACTTTAGATCCAAAGATACAGCTATATGGAAAGTAAAAGGAAGGATGGAAAAGAGATTCCATGCAAACGTAACGAAAAGAGCAGATATAACTACACTAATATCAAACAAAATAGACTTTAATCAAAAGAGGTTACAAGACACAAAGTAGGGCGTTATGTATTACTAAAAGGTTCAGTACAGTAAGAAGATAAAATAACTACAAACACTTATGTACCAATTGACAGACCATCAAAATATATGATGCAAAAACTGACAGAATTGAAGAGAGAAACAGACATTTCTACAATAATGGAGACTTGAATAACCCACTCTCAATAATGGCTAGAACAACCAGACACAAGTAAGGAAACAGCTGACTTAAAATAACACAATAAAACAACGAGATCTACAAACATAGACAACAGTAACAGCACACATTTTTTCAAGTATACCATGGGACATTTTCTAGGACAGACCATAT